GTGACACATTGGTGTGATATTGCGTATGTTTAACTTATTGAATTGAACTGCGTCATTGAACAATTATCACTTATGCTATACGCCAAGATCGTTGCCAGCTCATTTGTTTGCCTTTAACAATCGCCTTGTTAACGGTTGTATCGACTTTCCTGTTGTTTATAATCGAATTAGCGTAAACAAAATGGAGGAACAAAACGCCGCTTTCGCTGCAACAATTAATGACTTGCAAAACCAAATGACTGCTGTTCAAGCAGCGCTTGAAGGAAATAATCAAGTCACTGTATTTAAGCCTCGTCCTTTTAATGGCTTACCCAATGAGGACTTGAATGAATGGTTAATGAAATTTGAACGTTTTGCAAAGTTTTATAATTGGTCCAATGCCAAAAAGCTCGGCGCGATTTCGCTACTTTTGGATGGCCCTGCGTTAGCCTGGCTACATACACAAAATCCCGACACAGTCAATAATTACAACAACTTGGTTGAGGCACTCAAGTCTCGTTTCGGCGTTCAAAACCTTGATTTTCTATTTCGCCAAGAGCTTTATTCTCGAAAACAAGGACCTTTAGAGCCTTTATCACTGTATACGGCCGACATAATTAAAATGTGCCAACGTTTAAGTATTTCTGACAAAGACATGATGAACATTTTCATTAATGGTCTTTCTATTGAAATAAAAAACAATGTCATTCTTAATCAGCCAGATTCGTTTGAAAAAGCCGAGAGCATCGCCCGTTTGCGCGTTGCAGTTATAAAGAACACGCCTGATATGCGAAATTGCAGTCTTTTCCAAGACCAACGTATCAAGGAACTCGAAGGACAAGTGAATTTATTGATGTCTTCCATGTCAGCCAAACGTTTACCAACGCAAGCATTACCAGTACAGGCTGTTGGATTCGAAAACTTTCCCCAGCCTGCCCCCGTACCTGTAGCTACTGCTGCTGCTAATTATGTTTCACGTAATGAGCTATCTGAATTAAGACAAGACATGTTGGCAGTTATGGATGCTAGGTTGAAACAAAATTTTCAAGGAAAAGGGGGTCCCAATTATTTTCCACCACGTCATGGTCAAAAGGGTGTTCTTGGCCGCAACCTGCGCGCAATGGACGGCCAACCAATTTGTAATAAGTGTCCGAGAGTTGGTCACGTGGCTTGTTATTGTCCAGAGTCCAATCAATCATTTAACAAGTCTCAGAATCAAAGTTTCAGAAACGGTCAACAACATTTAAACGGAATAGGACCTTTTCGGTGGGGTCAATGAAGGTGCATAACCGCCCTATCAATGTATTTCGCCCCAAAAATAAAAACTCTAAACCTGATAAAGAACTGCAGACGTGGTTTGACAATCGAAAACTTTCGAAATCCTGTCAAAGTACTATTAATCGTTTTGTACCTGACGTAACACAAACTTTTGGCCGTGAATGTCAACCCATTCAAACTAATCTTACGAATAATTTGGCAGTAAAATCGATTGATCAAGAATCAATGAAATACTAAACAATGATTTGCCGTTGATTTCATCTGAATTTTCGTATTTGTCGTCGACTCAAAGTAATGTCCTTATATGGGGGATTGTAGAGAAACAAAACTTTAAATTGTTGGTCGATACTGGTGCAGCTGTAACTGTAATTAGTGACAAATTTTATAACGCCGTTTTGCGTGTAGCCTATCGCGTGCGCCAACAAGAAAGTCTTAACAGCGTGAAGACTGCGGACGGAAAAGAGGCTCCTGTTATTGGAGCTGTCTTGTTTCCAATACTCGTAGGATCGGTTTCCTATCAATGTCATGCTTTTGTGGTAGCTGGTTTAGCTTATAAAATTGTACTTGGTCGTGATTTCTTTCATGAGTACGGTGCAGTTATTGATGTCCGTCAGCAATTTGTCGATTTTTCTGGTAAAAACAAAATCAATTTTGCTTCAGGGGAGTACCCCCCACTGATCTCTGATGTAAGAGTTTCAAAAACGTTTGTTATCGATGCCCAGAGTGAATTGGTAATTCAAGCTCGTTTAGAAAAATTTGCTACGTCATATGTTGTTGGCTTAATTGAAGCAGTGCCTAAACTTTCTGATTGTTATCATCTGTATGGGGCCTGCTCGTTGTCTTCTCCCAATGAAAATGGTAAAGTGACTTTTCGCTTACTAAATCCTTCAGACACACCTGTCATACTGTACAAAGGTTCAACTGTAGGTAGGTTTCATCAAATAACATCCCCTGATGACATAATTTCGCTAGAATCTAAAGAGGTATCATCCATGGAAGCTCCTTCGCAGAGTCAGTATAATTCTTCTCCTCGTGAATTCAGTCTCCAGTTTAAGTCACTGCCTAGTCCTCACTGTCTACTGCAGAAAACACTTAGCTGAATGAACTTTTGAATGAATATGCTGACATCTTTGCATCATCCTCTCTTGATCTTGGTCACACAAATATCATTGAACATGAAATCGATACTGGTGATGCTAGGCCTATCAAGCAGCAGCCTTATAGAGTTTCTCAAGCACAAAGAGCAGAAATCGACCGTCATATTTCGAATATGCTTGAGCAGAAAATAATCAGTGTTTCTTGTAGTCCTTGGAGCTCTCCTGTTGTTTTAGTGAAAAAGAAGGACGGTACAACTCGATTTTGTATCGATTATCAAAAACTTAACGCTGTCACTCGTAAAGATAGTTATCCTTTGCCTAGAAGTGATGATGCCCTTGATGCTGTTTCTGGTTCCAGATACTTTTCAACTCTTGATTTGCAATCTGGATATCATCAAGTTGACTTGCACGATGATTCTAAAGAGAAAACTGCCTTTATTGCACATTCCGGATTGTAGGAATTTAATGTTTTAAGTTTTGGCCTAACGAACGCCCCGCCGAACTTTCAACGTCTAATGAGCAATGTGTTACATGGCTTCGATTGGAAAATTTGCATAATATACATAGATGATATTATCATCTTTTTGGAATCTTATGAAGAACATCTTGCACGCTTGCGTCTCATATTTAATCGTTTGCGTGATGCGAACTTGAAACTAAAACCCTCGAAGTGTCGTTTCGCCAGTCAGTATGTTGACTTTCTCGGTTTTGTGGTTTCATCAAAGGAATTTCACCTGATTCCAGCAAGATTGAAGTTGTTAAATCGTTTCCAGTTCCAAAATCAGTAAAGGAGGTTCGTAGTTTCCTCGGCCTTTGTAATTACTACAGACGTTTTGTTGAAGGTTTTTCGAAAATTGCTTCACCTTTGAATCGTTTAACTCGCAAGGACGTTGTGTTTGCTTGGACACCTGAGTGCCAGTCTGCTTTTCAAACATTAAAGAACCGTTTGTGTTTTCCTCCGATTCTGGCCTCTCCAGATTTTAATTTGCCTTTTCATCTGTTCACGGATGCAAGCCATTCAGCATTAGGCTATATTTTAGGACAGATAAGATTTACGCAAAAACGGGACAGCTTTGAGAATGCAGTCAATTTGCTGGAAATTTAGCGTAGAATTTGGAAATGGTGTCTTTTTGAAAGATTTTGGGCTTTATTGTTGAAGAAGTCCCATGCAACAGGCAAGCGTTTGATCTTTCAGGCTGCGATTCCAGAAAAATTTTAAAGTGTCACTGCCGTGTGTAAAATGTTGAAAATAAAAATTTTGTGTGCTTCTAGGGTGGGGGAGACGGTTTTAGAAACGTAGGTGTCACAGAGAGATACGTAATAGTAAAAAATACATTTGTTCACTTACTTCGTCGCTAGAATCAATCCTAAACAACCAAATAGCAACCATGTTTCATATCTTCGACCCATGCTGCACAGCAGTTTCCAAAACTAATTAACCCTGTGTAGACAATGGTTTGGTATGTCATTGTTGACAGGCATCAACTAGTATTGAAGTAGGAGGAGTATTGAAAACGAAAACAATACCACGCAATCTGATGCTAAGTTTTCCATAAAAAGGGGTCCTCGAATGCAAAAAATCAGTTTTCATGAGAAGTCATGAGCGAAGTTAAGATGGACCACGAATATAATGAGATGGTGAGTACATTACAGTTCACTTGTTTGTGCTTTTTGTTCTGAAATCTATTTGGTGCTTTTGTTAAAAAAATAATGTTCTCCTACAACACTGATGAGACCATCATTGATCCATTAATCAATTATCAAAACAAATTCATTTATTTTCGTTAAATTAATTTATTCAAGCCAGCCCCCAATTGATTGATAAGGACCAACTTTCCAAGCCCTGCCCCCAGCCAAATTAGTAAGAGCTCAGCCACTGTTGAAACAAACCGCTTCCTAGTTAATGCCTTGTTTTATTTCAAATGATTTCAGCTACTGTAGGGAATCAGTTTTTTCTGCGTAACCTACATTCTACTTTTTGGAATCTATTTAAGTGGAGCAGAAATTTGGGCTGCAGCATGATGCAATGGAAGACGAAGAAGACGCTACGCAGATCGTAGAAGATAAGATCCCCCCGCCTTAAAGTAAGAAACTCTCAGCACATTTTTTCAATCATCTGAATTTTATTTTAATATATGAATGTTCACGCCAAAAGAGAAGAATCGAGAATTAAAAAGAACAAACCCCCTTCTGGTGTCTTGTTGTATTTCTAGTTATTATAAAATTTCTACACCGTCTTTTTTCCGTGAATCTAACCATTTACTTTTTGGATTTCTTCTAGTGGATTTCTACTAGTGGATTTCTTCGATGAAGTTGCCGACTAGGAGAATACGCAGATCATGGCAGACGAAATATTCCAGATGCCAAGTAAATGGGGTGAACTACAGCCTCTATACTTTCTTTGAAGGTGATGCCAATTTTCATTTTATACGTGTAGCTTTCGTCAGTCTCTTCCATCTCGGCCATTAATACAGTTTTCTCGTCGTAGTTCACATCGATTACCTTACCTACTAAAATGTTTGGAACAGCCAAGTCGAATCATTTGTAATTAGAGCAACAATTTGATCTCTAATGGGGTAGTTCCAACAGGACAATTTTCGACGAATCCCTAAACAGTTAGCTGTATTATCTGCCAAGTGACTTACACCCTTTTTAATTTTGTTCTCGGTTTCCATGGTATAGTATCTTAGTCTCTGAGTTCTCTGACTGTGTGACATAAGTCTTGCGATAGCTGCTTCTATGTTTTTGTCCTTTTCCTCAGACAGAACCCAGTTAACTAAACTTTTACGAAGGGTTCCTGTAGTTACATGCAATTGATCATCCGAATGTTGTGAGAATGACTTGGAGAGATAAACTGTAAATGATTCGGAACTTTCAAATGGCTCTCCACTTTTACGCATGAAAAGAAAGTCGTGTTTCTTATCTTTAAGGAGTATCCTCCTTTCTTTATCTATAAATGTTCGCAAATAGCGCTCTAAATAATCGACGCTCGAAACCGAGATCCGATTGCACCCATAAGTCGAAGAGGTTTTAAAATGTTTATTTCCAATTCCACTGTGCCATCTTCTTTGAATATAAGATAGTTGTTATTTCTATCTCGCTCTTCATCCTTCTCTTGCACTATTTTAAGTCTTATCATGTCAGTGTTTCTTGCCGGATTAACAGTGGCAAACATTAAAAGAATTAAGAAATCATGATACAATCTTGCCTTATCTATTCTCGTGCCACAAAATGTTTCCAATTCATATTTCATTTTCTTTTATAGCTCCATTGCTTGTCCCCAGTAATAGTTTTTTTTTCTGTCCGTATTTGTATTTTTTCTCCTTCTCTCCTTTTCGTACTCTCTCTGTTAAAAGAAAAGTGAATGCAATCAGCAAAAGAAAACAACACCATCAAGAAGGAAAATGCATACAAAGTGCGTAAAGCGTAGAAGTAACCGACAGCACAACCAACGCTGTAATCTTTTCAAAGCATATTTATATCAAATTCGCTATTGGACGACGATAATTTGGCAATCTTGGTCACTTTGGCCGTTCTTAGTTCACTTGAAACGTAGATATAAACTCTGAAGTAGATGACTTCAAATTAAATGCTTACCTGCAGCTGAGACTGTATTCTTTTCAGCTGCACAATCTCTTTTATTTCCATAAGGTTTCCGCTATTTCTTTTCACATATTTGGCAATATATAAAATCGATTGTACATAGCCTGCCACCGTGCCGTAGCTTAAGGGTTTGGCCAATCGCGTTTGCACGAAAGCATCCACTTTTTTCGTGTTGAGGCAATCTTCAATGTTTGGACTCCGTGTTTCTGTCTCTGCAACAAAAATAAAGAATTCTTTTGCTTTACCAATGATCTTTTTCACTGTTGCCTCTGCAATTTTTCCAGTGGGCCGTTCTGGATTGATTACCTTGCTGTAGAATTCAGCAATTTTCGGAAACTCATTATTAACAGCTTCATGTGTACTATTGTGTGGATCTCGGTAATTAACGCTGTAGTCTTCCATTCTAACATCTTCGAAAGATTCCACATCAGTCATGGAGTTTGTGGCCTCCCCGCACATTTCATTCGTTGAAATTTTATCGTTTGCTTTAATCGTTGTGGTGCTTTGGAGCTGTTTGAAGATTTGCTGTTTGTGTTTGCTGTTAAGTTTTTGAAAATCTCCCATATCTATCAGCCAGTGTCCCCCTTTCTGTTTTCCAAAACGTGACTGCAGCTTTGCACATATCGTCCCTTGGGCTAATCTAGCCCTTATACCCATTCAGTGGAGCATGGTTTTGAAGGCTGATCCAGTCATGTGCTGGAAATCTGTTTTAACGTCCGCCAGTGCCACGTATTGATTTCCATCAATTTCAAACAGATCTCTGTCCAGAATTTTGGTAGGTTCTAAATAAAAATATTCTGGTTACATGTATAAAAAGGAAACTGGTTGCAAGAAAACTGATTACAAGAAAACTGATTACAAAATGCAATCGTGTTGAAAAAATCTTGTTGCAAAAGTATATGTTTCGACCATCAATCTGTGAGAAAACATCCTTTCTATTGTAAATAATCAACGATAAGGAAACAACTTGCCATGAAAATTTGAATCCATGTCGTTCTTCGACGAGTGACAATTGTTTGATCCTGCAGGAAAAATATGCTGATTCAATAAAAGGAAATTATGATGTTTTGCTACAAATACTGTTTTCTACACTATCACCCCTTCTCTGTTTTAAATTCAGCGTTTAAAAAATAATTTTTAGCGCGCAAATTTTTCTTTGTCCTGAGAACAATACGGCTAAGGAGGTGGGTACCTATCTGGCAAGAGGGGGTTCATTTTGAGGGAAGGGTTATTCGGAGAAGGTATCTTTTTCACAGGTGAGGATCTCAAGCCATTAAGAATTCACGGTAAGAGCTACTTCCTCAAAGTATTTTTTCGTGTTTTGATGTTTTCATTTGTTCTTATTCGAATCACGTCATAACTGTCAACCATCGAACGAACTGTTAGTCGCACGTGGAGTTGACTTCGAGCAGCTTCTCTTCGACCCGTCGATTCGTCGATATTGCTTGGTATCCAAATATATTGAAAATGGAAGATATTGCAGAAACGGTCCTAGTTTTTCAAAGGATTTTGGCCAATTTGGTCGAAATCCAGCGGATTCCGGTGGCCGGGGAGCTGATGTCTGAAATTCTCGGGATATCTCTGGAGACCGAAAATAAATTGCAAGAGGTGTGTCGTCGTGTTGGTAAGTAATTCCTCATCTTTCATATGTTTTAATGTAGCTGTTCATATGTAAATGCAGATTATCAATTGCTTATGTCACAAAAGAACTATAACCAAAAGTATACATGGAGAAAGCAACCCCCTCCCTTTACAGGCCTATTTTCACTTTCATTTTTAATGTCCAATAAACTGTAGCATTCGAAATTTTCGTTTTCTCAAACGATGCAAAAAGCGGCAGTTTGCCCACTAGATAAAGGGGAATCAATTCGTACATTAGAAAGAAATTTCCGCCCAGTAAGTGTTCTCAATACATTTTCAAAGTTATATGAAAAAGTCTTAAAAAATCAATTGGTCAAACATTTAGATTACCCGCTTTCAGTACTGGTCGCATGCATCTGGTTACATTGACAAAACAAGCTGGAAGACAACTGGTTACATGATGTAACCAGATAAAAAAATTATCTATTTAAACGATCTGGTTTGAACGAGAGCTAGCCTTATTGAACTCGTTTCATATTATTGACTACCCTGGGTACCAGACTCACTATATATGAAATAAAATAGAGAGTCTGGTCTAGTGCGCCCCATTCTCGTTCTGGTGTGCTTATATTAACCAATCAGGAGCGAGTGTACAGATTTCTGTACGTTCAAAGGTCACAGCGAAACAATAAACTTAGCTCTGGTGTAAAACATTGAACAGAACACAACATAAATAAATGCTAGCGACTGTAACGATTTAGTTTGAAGATGCTGTTAAAACTGTACTCAAAGAATATTTTCCGCATGTTGTGGGACTTAACACAGAACAACATTGAAAGCCTTGTTTGTAGAGAGAAGAGACACCTTCGCCATATTGCCAACTGACTTTGGAAAGTCTCTGATATTTCAGGCAGTGCCTCTCATTGCAAAGAAATTAGGCCTTGTAGTGAAATGCAGTAAATAAGAAACACCGCAAGGCGCCGAGAACAAACAACAACAAACACAAGTAAATCAGTTATGGCTAATATTTTCCCCGGCATACGGGGCTTCGCTTGTCATATTGGCCATATTTGCTGTGGCGAACTTCCAACGTGATGATTCTAACCGCCGCGGTGTCCAAGCGCGCTGCCTTCACAGTGAGGAAGTAGACTGAAAGTACACTTAATTTATGTGGAAAATTACAAAAGTCTTATTTTAAGTTGTATGCTAAATTTAACAATGATTAACATTTAGTAACTGCATTGTGCTAACTTTAATTTCATGCTTCGCATATGCTTTTTGCTGCCAAGGCGTTTTACACCTGATTTGATTGGAATCTTGAGGCAGAAAAGTCTGTTATCACTGTATTAATAATGTCAACTTTACAGAACTATATAAAATACATTGGCTTTAAGATTTCCCAAAACTCCTCCGACTACTGAGTATCTTTGTTATTTATCCGACAGTCTTGTTTCACAGGCCTAGTCTGTTAAATAGACTTCAGTTCTTTCAAGTAAGTTCACCCGAACGAGAATGGGGCGCACTAAACCAGACTCTCTATTATTTTATATAGTGAGTCTGGTACCCAGGGTATATTATTGACACTCTTTCATAAAACTCAATTCTGGTTGCATGCATCTGGTTACATCGACAAAATAGACTGGAAGACAACTGGTTACATGATGTAACCAGATAAAAAAATTATCTGTTTAAACGATCTGGTTTGAACGAGAGCTAGCCTTATTGAAACTCGTTTTATATTATTGACACACTTTCATAAAACTCAATTCTGGTTGCATGCATCTGGTTGCATGCATCTGGTTGCATGCATCTGGTTACATCGACAAAATAGACTGGAAGACAACTGGTTACATGATGTAACCAGATAAAAAAATTATCTATTTAAAAAATCTGGTTTGAACGAGAGCTAGCCTTATTGAAACTCGTTTTATATTATTGACACTCTTTCATGAAACTCAATTCTGGTTGCATGCATCTGGTTGCATGCATCTGGTTACATCGACAAAATAGACTGGAAGACAACTGGTTACATGATGTAACCAGATAAAAAAATTATCTATTTAAACAATCTGGTTTGAACGAGAGCTAGCCTTATTGAAACTTGTTTTATATTATTGACACTCTTTCATAAAACTCAATTCTGGTTGCATGCATCTGGTTGCATGCATCTGGTTACATCGACAAAATAGACTGGAAGACAACTGGTTACATGATGTAACCAGATAAAAAAATTATCTATTTAAAAAATCTGGTTTGAACGAGAGCTAGCCTTATTGAAACTCGTTTTATATTATTGACACTCTTTCATAAAACTCAATTCTGGTTGCATGCATCTGGTTACATCGACAAAATAGACTGGAAGACAACTGGTTACATGATGTAACCAGATAAAAAAATTATCTGTTTAAACGATCTGGTTTGAACGAGAGCTAGCCTTATTGAAACTCGTTTTATATTATTGACACTCTTTCATAAAACTCAATTCTGGTTGCATGCATCTGGTTGCATGCATCTGGTTACATCGAAAAAATAGACTGGAAGACAACTGGTTACATGATGTA